TCATTTATGTAGTATAGTACCTAATATGAAATTGTTCATTTCAACTAAATGTACGTCAATGTGAACACCTTTACCTTCGTACTACGCAGGTACGTACGCTACGTACGCAGAACAACAAAGGCCCTATTGACCTTTTAAATCTTAAGAATAATGTGGCCGGTGGCGTTGACAACAAATACCTAACATGGATAGCTATCACTGGCGCTTATGAACCTACTAGCATTTACTAAGCTGTATTACTTCATGGTATTGAACTCTTAACATCAATAGGGTGAGATAAGAAACGGTACCATAACCTTTTTTTAATATAATATAATATCGTGTTTGTGTTTAGGAAGGTACATTTTGGTTTAAATCATTAAAGCTACCTACGTCAAATGAATAATTTATTAAAGTTTAATGCATAGTAAAGTGTATTTAAATAACTCTTACCTGCTTTATTTTCATGTTTGTAAATGTTTAGGCAAAAACTGAAATAAGTCTGTTGACATTTCAGTGTATAGAATAGAATATAACTTTATTGTACACCATTAATAATACAGTACATACAGAAAAGGAAATGACAAATATAAATAATAAAATAGTAATGGGCACAAAGGCGGTCTTATCACTTATAGTGATTTCTACCAGACAACCTTTGGGTGGATATAATGAAGAGAAATATTTAGACGGACAACCCGTCTAAATATTTCTCTTCATTATAGATATACTAAGAAAATAAATAAATAACGTATTAATAATACACAAATACATGTACATATACCTACATACATATAAATATGCATACATATACACATACATACACACAAACATACATATATACATACATACAGTGTAGTTAAAACACACCTACATTTTGTTACATAGTTGTATCTTTTTACGTCAATGCGCTGATACACGAGTACACAGTCCCGCCTCTATCGCGGAAACTATATTTTTTTTCTTCTCCTCTTATGATATCTTCTGATTCATTTCGTTGCGAGAACCAAGGTTGTTATTCATTTCCCTGTGCCGCGCCGGACTTCAGTGTTCCGGTGTTTTCATGGCTGTATCTACTGTAGATCCTGGCTTACAGGAGTTGCAGCCGTTTTGTGAGGTTTTAGAGGGCATGTCCCAAAAAAATCCGCCCGCATTTATTACATGGCCCTTATAGGTATATATAAGTATATATAGGTATATATAAGGATCATGTAAAAGTAAATATTCATAAATTTGGCGGGACATATAATAAAATAATTTGTAATAACACGACATGACGTTGTCGTCGTCTAACAAAAAAATCAAATCTTTTCTGTTAGGGTGGAAATTAAAAAACGTGAAGTAAGTTCGTGCTACTATAGTACCTACCTATAGATAGCCATCAGACCACCACGGATGGGGCCCAATAGGGCTGATGCCGATACGGAGTCGCGGACGACTAAACGCAATAGCGTCTATAATGACAAGTGTAAAAACTCTTGTTAGTATCTCACTGGATACGGAGCCGCGGAAGGCCTAACGGGTTGCCCGGGCTTCGGCTCGAGGGGCAGGAGTAGGAACTGGGAAGGTTTTTAGTCAGTAAGAGTCTTACACTTCCTCCCACCTCACCCAGAGAGAAGTCATTCGATGGTTTTCCCCCTTAAAAAAATAGTACACATAGATACCTATTAGATAATAGATAGCTACGATTATCTATCACAAGACAATATACACAGTAACTTACTCAATACTGACGTAACAACGAGCTATCGTGTCGTGTTTAGCAGATTTATTATTAAGTGCTATCGGTGATAATTATGTCATGAAAGTTCACTTAACGCTTACATTATAATTTTAGAACAAACATGTTGTGCCGTATACCGTGTTGATATTGTTTGTGACGTTATAGTCCGCCCATATTTCAAATAATTGTATGTTACCTAGTTGTTTGTTTGTTCCATTTTTAGTTAAGGCATTGGTAGAGGTCAGTTAAAATAGAAAAGTTAACTTTTCATGTATTTATTTATTTATACTTTATTGCACACACAGAAAAAAAAATTTGTAAACATTGCAATAGTAATTTGAGTACAATGGGCGGTCTTATCACACGCGGCGATTTCTTCCAGACAACCTTTGGATGGAATTTTTGAAAAGAATCGTGTAATGACCGGTTGGGGGATGCTAGTGAAATTGACTGTCGCATCGGTGTCAAAACCAAATAATTAAGCTAAAAATTAATGTACCGATTAAATAATAAAACTAAGACGGGTTAAGGATATCATCAAAATGTTCACTAAAATCTCTTATTACTGTCCATTACATAATAATATGGACATAATACACCTTGTGGCTTTCGCCTCCAGTCCTGTCCTTTTTATCGTCTGATATCGTCCACTCATGCTGTCCCATCATGCACCCATAACTGCCTCGTTGGCCAAGTGGTCGCAAGTGCGACTGCCGGGCAAGGGGTCTCGGGTTCGATTCCCGAGTCGAGCAAAGTATTACTGGGTTTAAAAAAAGTGTCAGTGGTAGTGCGGACTCTGGAATTGTGCCCGGTATATGACAATAGGCTCACCCCCTATGAGACTCGTATCATAAATAGTGAAAAGTGGGTGTAACATTGTACAGTGGTATTAAGTGCCGTAATGTGCCTTTACCTACCCCTTCGGAGATAAATGGCGTGATGTTATGTTATGTCGTCCACCCATGTTTTGGGTGAACAAATTAGTCATCATATCGATTCTTATTTTTGTTTATAGGGCATGAACCCTCTCTACGCGCGGTTGGTGCCCTTCGCAGCTGTGTGCGGTGCTAACTTTATCAATATCCCCATGATGAGGAGCAAGTAAGTTCATTCTAAACATTTTTACAAGATTATGTCTTTGGATTGGCCTATTTAAATTTTTCTTCAATTTACAACGTTCATTTTGTGCGAAATGTGAGGAAAGTGAAAATATGTGTTAGAGACTGGATACGCCTTTATAAAGATATTCTATCATGTTGCTTTCCATCTTGCTAATATTTAAAATATGGGCTGACGGATCACTTGATCGTAAGCAGTCGAAGACGCGCGTCCCCGATACTCGAAACGCCAAAGTGTGTTGCCGGTCTTTTAGGGATTGGGGTTTGGGATTGGGGATTTGGATACAACTAGGACTGCTACGACCTTTTGCCATTAATTGATGTATAAATGAACACCCATCGTTGAACACTGTTATATTAATTTAGTGTTTTATCCATTTTCTTGAGTCTCTGGACTTAATATGTATAAAAAAATATTTGGTTCAAAAACCAATTTCAGCGGCTCTAAAGGATTTCACTTTGTTTGATACTTTAGTATTGTTATTTCTATTTTACAGTGAAATAATGAACGGTACGCCGGTGTTCACCCCGGACGGTCAAAGGGTTGGAGACTCGAAGGTCGCAGCGGTGACTGGCATCCTCCTAGTCTGCGTATCTAGAGTGGGCATGGCTCTACCTGGAATGAGTAAGTCAATTCTGTTTTTTCAAACTAACATTTAGTCGGCTGCTCAGTAATTTGTTCCCTAGGGTCGATAAATTTTGAAACCGAAAAAAATTGCAGTTGGATGAAATTCATTAGAAAAGGAGAGGAATCGATTCGAAATCTAAAAGTGGGAGGGGGTGAGCTTTTGTGGATTAAAAATGGGTTATCTTGATTCCCGGAAAAAACTACATGTCCTGTGGAAGTGGGAACTTCGAATCGACCGTAATTTATTCTTTTCGAAGGCAGTTCATCCTACTGTAATTTTTTTAACCTTTTACCATTTTTGAAGGCTCGGCTCTAGTCTAATTGCACAAAATTTTTTAATTTTAATACCCTGGAAACTACCCAATTTTAGTCAGTGTGAGTCATAAATAATATTCATGATCTCTTTTTGAATTATTTCAGCCCTGGTGCCCATTTTATCACAGATGGCAATCAAGAAGAAAATGTTCAGCGCGAGTTCGATGGCCATCATTCCCTTCCAGTTGTCCCTGGTGTGTCTTTGTGTCACGTTTGCCACGCCTCTCGGCTGCGCCTTCTTCGAACAGAAAGCTAACATCAGTATCCACTCTATTGAGGCACCCTTAAAGGTACGAAATTGTTATTGTCTTTTTTATGAGATAAGGGGGCAAGTCGGTCTTTGGGGCCACGGCTGCATAGAGTAGAGGACTCTTGGTGCCCATCCAGTGGTCATCAGAGAAGACGGTAGTACAGTGGTCACGTGCTGCTCTGCAAAGCGATGATCAAGGGACACGCACGTCTCCCTAGGCAGGTGCTGTAACAGGCGTTGCACCATGGGGGCTCCGGAGCAGGTCACTGCAGAAGACCCGGTGCCCCCTTACAGGTGCTGAGGGTAGCCACCGCCACACTCCCTAGTCTTTGAAGGCGTCGTTTGAAGGTTTACCCCGTTATCAAAAAAAGGGTTACCGTATATTATATGAGCAGGAGCACCCGCAACACCAGAAGAGTTACAAATGCGATGTAGAGGTGTTATTTCACTCACAAGATAAAATACAACACAAATGTTGTTTCTAGAATGACGCTAGCCAGTAGCCTGTGCCTTTAGCCAAACGCCACTTTAGCGCTTGTCTACAGAGAGAGTAGAAAACTAAATGTATGGGGATGACACTGACAAGTGTCCCTCCCCTTCCCCAATCTCCCCAATCCCTGAATCCCCAACAATCCTCAAACTCCTAATCCACAAATAGCCGGTAACGCACTTGTAACGCCTCTGGTGTTCCAGGTGTCCATGGGCGACGCCGATTGCTTTCCATCAGGTGATCCGTCTGCTCGTTTACCGGTTTATGCCATAAAAAAAAAAAAAAAAAGTGTAAAAATTTACGTCAATTCTTTTTTTTAGTTTTCTACAATACAAGTAGACAAGCGTTAAATGGCATTTGGCTACAGCTGCTAGTACGTTATCTGTTCTTCCATTCTCCGCTATCAGATGTCACTACAACCTCCGTTATAAATGCGGAAGTCAAATTACCGCGGTGCCTGGCGACTGGGCTTCTCCCAGTTGTATGATCTCTTTTTGTGCCTATCGGCTTAATTCATTCTGTCTCCTTCATAAATTCACCGAGGGAACTTCCCTTGTTGAAGTTTCCACTTGGAAACTATCGTTTTTTCTTCTCCTCTTATAATATCTTTTGATTTATTTCGCTGCGGGACAAAGACAGTTAGTCATGTTCGCCGGACTTCAGTGTTCTGGTGTTTTCATGGTTGTATCTACTGTAGATCCTGGCTTACAGCAGTCGCAGCGGTTTTGGGAGCCTGTGGCGGGCTTTTTTTTAAAGTTAGTGTATTATAAATGTACAATCAAATTATCTTTGTTACAGGCAAAAGCTTTACAACTATCTCCAAAGACGGACACAGTGTTTTACAACAAGGGTTTGTAAGAATTGTAAGCAGCTTTAGAGATATCCTTATAGTTCTTATTTGCTCTGATGGTTTTAGTAATGACGTTATGGGTCAGTGTCTCATATGATGTCATCCACTTTACGCAGGTTATTATATCGTAAAGATGGATTCATTATTTGCGATTTATTTGAAATCGGCTACAAAATGGTAGGGTTATATCACATTCTCATGTAAACCTTAGTTTAATGTTGGGTGATATTATTTTGAAAAAATCTACAGCAATGGTGTTTCAACACATGTTATCTATTTCAATTATAATACATTATGATAATATGTATTATAAAGTTGTGCATACGAAATTATGAGCAAGATGGGTCTGCGCATTATAGGCAAGATGGTGTTAGTAACCACTGAAATTTATATTTTAAATTATGAAAATTATAAATCCCTTCATTTTGTGCCCCTAATCGATTTATTCTCGTACCTTAATGGATTTTGTCGATCAGTTAGATAATTTAATCGATTTTTTACTCGACTTTATCATCACCACATTTCTAGTGAAACTTCAATTCAAATGCCAAACGTCATTACAATACCCAACAGATCGTAAAAAGACTATATATAGTGACTTATATTATGCTGGTAGTGTCCTCAGTACTTATTCTGCAATGGAGTCGATATACAAGCTTAATAGTCAAGTTCAGAAGACTTAGGAATTGTTTTAGCTACGATGCTAGCAAATAGCATAAACGATAGTCCACTAGAATACAAATGTCAATGTATGGGATTACCTACCTAGGTTTTGACATTATTTTTCTTGTCAATGTCAATCCTATTATTCTATACATTGACTTTGCTATTCTTTTTAATTTCAACTGCATTATTTTTGCTACTAGCATTAACCGCTGTGTTACTTAGACCAGGTGATAGAATCTCCCCACAGCGTTACCATTCCATTTGTTTACAAACCTATGGTCGTAGAGTTAAACGTAAAATTGCAATTTAGAAATGTCAATTTTAGAAGTTATTAACATTAGGTTTGTTTTTGAATGACAAACTGTAATGGTCTATAGACATTGTTAGTTATTGAATCTGCATCTAATGACGTTGATACGTTCCTGAGTTCAAAATGATAATTAAAATGTAGTTAAAGGTTTTTGTTAATGTTTTTAAGAACTTTAAAACCATGTTATTATATTTATTTTTTATTATTTTCAATGTTAGATACTAAATTGTGTGGAATGGTCTAAGTCAAGTAAGTTGGTATTAGGTACTTACGTTTATGCCAAGTATAGTTCGTCTGGTGAGAGTATTTCAGAGAAATGGTTATTTTTGAAAAATGCTATTTGTATGATAATTTTTAAGGCTACATGCGTTTTGTGTGGAATATAATAATGTCTAAATCGCCTTTTCTATTTTATGTTAGGCTTTAGACCACAGAACATATAAAGAAGGCTAGAAAGGAAATAGTTCCTGATTTGTATTAGAACACGCGTCGCCGTTTGTCCCCCACTCTTTAACTTTACTACAAGCAAGAGACCAATACCTACGCGGAAAATGCACACAAATAAACAACACGCACTAGGTTAAAAGATTTGTTATTGGTCGTCACACTGACGCAATCACTTCGTTTGACATACACTAATACAGGCGTAAAAAACTCATATATGGTAGGGGGAGCGAAAGGTCGATTATTGATATCGATAAAATTAATGGCATCTAGCTTCTTAATTTACATGTATTGTGGACTATGCGGATTTGTATAAAGCATATTGTGCACATGTATTTACGTTAATGTAAATAACTATACATAGAAAAATACATAACTGATTTTTAAAATCAATTACATTATTAACATTAAAATAATTTGACATGGAATATAGTTATAAGTAAATTGTTGATTGGTAGTAATCAAAAAAGTATAAAAACCCGAAAAGGTATTATTTCGATTTTGTTTTGTTTTCAACTGTAAGTTTTATAAAAATAAAAGGAGTCTGGGAAGTCATGGGGTCAAAAATAATAGATTTTTACTTAATTCAAAATATATAAAAAATAGCGTAATTTCTCCCTAAGGAATGAAAAATCATAAAATAATGAAATATTGAGAATTATCATAACGTAACCATATCATGATATATCTAATCTGTGCTCAAAACTCTGTTATTGTCTCTGTTAGATATCATCATGACATTCGTATGATGACAACCGATAATCGTCGTTCGTATTTCTTTAATAGTTAATATAAATAGGAATTATTATATAGTTTCGGTTACATAATTTCCTTTACTGAATGTGAGTGGTGTGCAAATTAACTTAGAAAGTACGTATAAGTTGTATGAAACAGCGCCGCAACCTCCAGGCCAACACAATATTTAGCTCACGTAAATTAAGTCAGCTCTAAAAGCTCTGAAAACTAGAAAAGTCATCAAGTGTACATAGCTATTCTTAAAAAAGGTACAATACAATCGCTCCCAGGATATAATGTCATCTTATTTGTTGTCATAGCTTTGTTCTCGAATAGAAAACCTCAACAACTATTTTAAATTATTGACTAAAATTTCGGCTGGCTTTTAAGAATTTCTCATAGTTTCAACTATTTACAATTTGGGCCTAAGCATGTATGAAAGAGTATCCATCTTACGAAAAATGATTTAGATGTCCCTTAGATGATATCAAGGTAGAAATGTAAAACAAAATTTCCTAAATCATAAAATCAGTCTACTTACTGAACAAAACATAACGAATACATAAAAAATTATATAAAACTGAAATACGAATAAAATGCCTCACTTAAAACCTATTTCATAATTAGTCGTAATAAATAAAATTATTTTAGTTATAATGTGTATAATTTGATAATAATCCTTTGTATCATAGTAATTATCGACATTGTTTACAAATTGACACTTCTCTATATCGATTCGAGGAAATGACGTTTTGATTTGATACTCGGGACTCTCGTTGTGAACGTAATACATTGCGCGATCGTTTATGTAGTGCAAAACGGTACGTATCTATTGCAAGCAATGTATACTGCTTGCGATAATGTCGTTTTTGTCTAGAAACGTCATAATATTAATGTTATAATTACAAATATCACAAGTATATTAATGTTTTTGAAGTCACTGGTGGAAAGAAATCCCTTCTCGTGCTACATTGCACACCTGTCTTCTTTTCCGACACATTACAATAGTCCAAGACGGCATAATTTAATATTATTTGCGGAGTTTCGTACTCTGTCACAACAACATTGCGTTTGATGGCCGGTTTTTGACATTTTGGTAGATTTGGAGCATTTGCTCATAACCGCGGCACGCGTGTACCGCCCACAAGGCCGTTCTATCCTCCTTTATATGTTCTGTGCTTTAGACGCACTACGATTTTGTACTGTGGGCAATTTTATGCAAAAATACCGCGAAACCACTTAACGTTCGCCCTACGATGAAAGTTTCTTCCAAAATGTTTCTTCTAGATTATAATAGTTACTGTATCTACCTTTTTTGAAAGAGAAAAGCATCAAATGTCTCCTTGGGTTAGGCGAGATGGAGTGACTCTTCTATCCCCGTTCTTACTCTTGCTTGAAGCCGGAGCCAAACTGGTCCTTGTGGTTGTCCACAGCCCTTTTTTTCTGTCGGTTCGCTCTTGGCAGAGCGGTAGTGGTCACGTTGGGGCGGCCATATTTATGTTGGAGGTGGATACTGCTTTCCTCACGACCTTCCGTCGTCGATCCCTATTTGTGGACTGACTGGGCGTAGTGCAGGGGTTCCTATTGCCGATTTAACTTGATCCGAGGTCCTGATACCTCCAGTTAAAAACTTGGTTACATAATGAATATTTGTTATTTACATAATTGTGCTGTTTTCGGGTCTTGTTGCTATAAAATGCCTACAGTTAATTATAGTGCGGCTTAACCTGTATACTATTAAAACCAAAAAGCATTGATATTGCTAAAGCGATTTAATCGTTCGTCTATTATGAACGAAACTTGCACGAGCTTGCTACCAACAGTTTGTAGCAGTAGAATTGTTGATTTTTTTTTATTTTTGATATTTGTATTTTATAATTTTATAATTGATATTTTATTTTTTATAATTTTGTATTTTGTATGTTATACTTACAATGATTTTCTACATTATATTTATATGATTTTGTAGGAAAATATTAAATATTTATACCTACCTACTTTTATATTTTTTTATTTCAAACAGTTCTTTATGTGTTTAAGCCAGGTCATATTGAAAGAGCCTAACGAGTTCCGTTGTAAGATTTTCTTGAGCTTATTTCAGAATTATGAATAAAAAAATAAAAAATTATAATAGTAGAAAAAAAAGCCCAATATATATATATATATTCTGTTTGATATATTATTCCGATCTGATTTGTGAAGTATGTACTATCAAATGTAGCAATAATGTGTAAACATTCCAAAGATATTCTGTATATCATATCTAATTGTTATGTATATTATATTTAAATATTTATATTTCTATATTGTGATGTCAATTCCCGTGACTACCACTGACAATAATGTTGTGACTTCTAGGTATAATGTTAAAATCGTTTCTATTAAAAAAGTTGTGTTTTATATAAAAAAAGCAATTGTGAATGTGTTATTATTGTTCCTAAAATGATTGGCTCGCTTCGTTTCTATTAAATTTATATAATTGTTTGTAAATTAGTTTTATATGATTATGTAATACATACAATCGTTACTAAGTAGGTAGATATACATAAAATTGTCTTAATAAACAATTAACTTGTTTTCCTTTTGTTTCCTTTTTTCTCTAAGAAAACTATTACCTATCATATTTATTTGTCTGTTGCTCTAGTGTCAATTCACACCTGCATGTTCTCCGATTCGGAGTCGCGGAGAACCTCACTCATGTTATGCCGCTCCGGTCGCTCCGCAGACTGAACCGCACAGCACTGAACTCGCACTTAGCCGCATTGCGGCTACCCGCATAGCGCATGAACCCCAAGAGTCTGACACTCCCTCCCGCCTCACCCAGGCGAGAGCAGTCATTCGATGATTTTCCCCCCTTAAAAAAACACCTGCATGTTCTGGCGTAAGGCGACCTGTTAAGCTATTCTGCACTTTTAATTCGTTAGATGGAAGTGAACACGATCGCGGTTCACCATATCATTGGTTGTGAGAATTATCTCGACCAATGACGGGCGAGGATGCAATTGAGCTCAATTAGAAAGTTCGAATTGACTGTTAGCTTTTTTAAGGGGGAAAATCATCGAATGTCTTCTCCCGCCCGGGTGAGGGGAGAGAGAGTGTTAGACACTTACTGACTAAAAACCACCCGGTTCCTGCTCCTGCATTCCGAACCGGAGCCCTGGTAAAACCTAGAAGTGCAACGTCACACATCTTCTCTTCCGTCATAAAGTCATTTTTATTTACCCCGAGGTAGAAAATTCTCATGGAGCGCCCTGGCCTAGCAAAGACGAAAGGGTTTCTTAAAAGAAAATCCCTGCAAACGCAACCATAAACTGCATTAGCTATAAGAGATAGGTAAGCAGCCATCAGAACTGCTGATCCCTTAGCACGAGCTTGTTTTACGTTTAACGAGATCGAAACGTTACCGCGTTCGGCAATCTGATTGGCCGGCTCCAAATAACCAACCAATCAAAAGGCTAAATGCCATAACATTTAAATCTCATGACTAAGCCCTCTGATTACGTGGCGAAAACAAATAGTCGCCCCCACTGGAAACGAACGAAACTTGTTTCTGTCCCACTTGTTCCCTTCAAAGACGTTGAAAAAATTACTTCTTGACATTGGGACCAAATGACAAGCCTATCCATGAATTTTTGAAATCGGTCCAGGCGTCTTCGAGTAACAAACATAAAAATAATAAAGTCGAATTGAGAACCTCCTCCTTTTTTTGAATTCTGTTGTAAAAGCGGACACAGTTTCTTGAAACGATTTTGGTCAAATGACTGTGGCACCTGGCTACTATAGAGTTACACACGCAGAACATAAGTACACACATTGACACCGAGGACGTGTGTCTGGTAACGTAACTACTGATATTTTGGTGCTTCAATCATTTCCAAGTGACATTATTTACGCCTTTTGTTAACATCTTTTTTTGATTCAAACGCAGTGACAAAGATTTCACAATTAATATTTTCCAAGTGATAAAATATTTTAATTACGACTTTCTGACTAAGAGCGAACATAAAA